GCCCATAGATATAAGTTCTTCACAATACTGCTGGCTGAGCAGTTTTTTGTGGTTACATATTTCTGAGAAACCACTGGCACGGTGCTGTTGTGTTTTGCTCTTGAGGGAGGCAACAGTGGAGATGCAGGAGGAAGGGTTGACCGGGGAGCAGCAGCAGTCGATAGCCCCCATCAGCCTGAAACAGCCATTAGTCACTGCTCTGATCCCATCCTCGGCTTGGCACCTGATTTTGCCTTTGACGTAGTGAGTAGTAAAACACAGCAGATTTTACCAACCTTGCTGCTGCCACCAGATACTGTTGACCTAAGGAGGAAAATGCCACTTTAAGACTGGGTGTAAGGATATCTAAGGATGAGTGGAATGTGCCTTGCTCATGGGCTGGGGGGCCAGATGAAGGATCTGGGGGATCTGTGGGATCTGTGGGATCGTGGCAGGGAAAAAGAGCTGTCTGTGCTGTGGTTCGGTATAGATTGAAAGAGAGGGAAAAGAAGAAAATAGGTGAATAAAGGTTATGCTGGAGATACTGGCTTTACAGGAAGTGAAACCTTATCCCCCCCCTATTATTCAAACTGTGGACATAATTTGTCAAGAGGAATCTTGCCGTTACCCTCTGACATATTTCTACACTTTTACTAGCCCTTCTTTGCTCTGCACACGTTACATTTTGTAGGAGATGCAAGACACAAGTGTTAGGATTTGTGCCTTTAACTCAGTTGTTAGGCTCCGAGCCTGTTGTGTGTCCCCCCCTCCCCCTGGAACTCTGCCCTTCATTGCCATTCCCATAGCTGAACTTGAGAAGACCAATCTTTCTCCTCCTCAGTGAACAAGACGTTAGTCCTTAGCTGACACGCTATTTTTGTGAAGATGCTGTTTGTGTGAGGTAGGTGACAAGCTGGCACGGATGGATCAGGTGGCTTCTCTACAGAAGGGCTTGGCTTGTACATCCATCCATCAGAAAAACACCCGTTTGAAAATCTTTGCTTCTCTAGTGACAGACAATTTCTCTTCTGCTTGTTTTTGTCTTTGCTAAGGAAAAAAGGAAAAGGCAGACGGAAATTGAAGGGAAGAGACAGCAGCTCGAGGACCAGATTCTTCAGCTGCAGCATTTCAAGGTAAGGGCTGAGGCTGGACTGACCAGAGATGTATGTTTTTAGACATGCAGATCACACGTTCGGGAAGCTGGGAAGAACCTGTTCCGACACGAAGCAGCCTGTGTCGCCGGAGTCTGTCTCTTCCAGCTAATCAAATCCTCGCAGGTCTCTCTTCTGTGTGTGATTCTCCGTTAAAATACCATGTTGCTGAAAAGGATGGAGCAGAATAGATGATGGAAGGGGGAGGGCATATATAGCAGGCACCAGAATTTTGCTACAGATTTAGCAATTCACTACATATCCCTGAATTGGAACGGATGTGGATTTGGGTGTGTTCACTGCATTGCTTAAATGGTTTCTTTCCAGCTATGCAACCATTGAGGCTGCTTTTGTGTGCCTAATTACGGTAGTACTTGATCTCTATGGTTGTGTAATGTGTGTGTGTGTGTCTGTGTTTGCAGGTGTGCATAAAACTGCAGAGCTATTCAAGGGGAATATGCAGTCAATACAATGACGATTAGACATGATCTGCGTTTATCAATTAAGGGATTCCCAGTTGAAAACTTTGTACCTTGGGGTTATATGCAAAGAATTGTATATTGATACTGTATATACTGTAAAATATTGTACATATATACATTGTAGGATATATTAATCTAGGACTATCATATCTGAGCTGCAGAACTCTAGGCAACCAACGGATGGCAGCAAAGAGCAATAGTTGTTTATATCTCTTTGCTTCCATCTAGTGATGGTCTGGATTTTTGCAGCCCTAATATGAATCGGTTTATCTATCTGTAGATATAACTGGTTTATTTGTATCTTACTGACTGAGATACTGCTGAAAGTCAGATGCATATTGAGTAAGATCACAGGTCCGTGATAGTGCAACTGATTTGCATGCAGAATGTCCCAGGTTCAGGCCCTGCTATTTCCTGTTGAAAGGAATAGATGACAGCTCGTAAGAAAGATATCTTCTCAAAGCAGGCTGCTAGACTAAACCTATTTAGGGGAGCTTTAGATGTTTCTAATCGTCTTTTATTCTGGAAACCTTTCTCCTCTAAACAAATTGTCCCTGATATTTCAGCCTGATCAGTGTCTGGATGAGAGACTTCCAGGAAACCCTTCACTAGCTCTTCTGAGCTTTCCAGTGGAAGCCCAGCAGATGTGTAATGGATTAGATTTCACATGTACTGTGTAGCACTTGTGGTGCTTGTGGTGTACTTGTGGTGTTGACGCCTTGTATCCTAACGTCTAGTTAGGGGCGTAAACCTACAGGCATAGAATGAGGCTCCTTAATATAGATAACTTTCCCCTGTGTATTTTTATGCAGTCAACGTTATAGCTCTGTGTCTGTCAGAGGGACGGGTGTCAAAATAAAGTAGCTGGAAATTGTTAGAAATGATAGCCACTTGTTATACTTCCGGCTGGAGCTGCTGAGCCAACATTTGGCATTCCTGGGCATTTCCTTGTTTTTCCTTGGAAATACACCTTCTTTGAATGGTATCTTCCCCCACGTATTCTTATCTTGGGGGCAACAACCGATTCTTTCTCCCCCCAAATGTCATTCTATCCGAGGCGTTGTGAAATGTGCAAAATGGTATGGTGCTGGCCTCCCAGCCCAGTTGCTGTTTCTGCCATTCGTATTGGTATCTCTTCAGGCAGCTGGAGTAATATTGCTTACGCAGGATCGCTGAGGTTGAGACAGGCCGTGTGTTTGGTCAATAAAATTTCTTGTCACCAAGGAGGAATTCTGTTCTTGTTCTGAGATTGCAGCCACCTGTGCTAGACTTTTGAAAGGATCATATGAAAAACAGGGTTGAATGCTTGTATAAAGAACAGTCTTCCCTAATTGTTGACCTCCAGATATGTTGGGCTTAACTTCCATAATTCCACAGTCTAGTTGGAGAAGGCTGATGTAGACGTTAATCAAAAGAGAATAGATTAAAATGCTTTCATTTATTTGTTTTCCGAGTCAGTCAGGTGATGCCTTCTGAGAGCTCTTATTTAAGGACAGGACAACATCAGGAAACTCTTAACTTCTTCCAGATATAACATAGGTCAGTGTAGGGCTAGGCAATGCTACAGATTCAAAGGTGCATTGGAACATATAGGTGCTTGTCTCCATTTAAAGCACCTGCATCTTTTCCCGGGTAGTATGATCCTGAGAAAAGGAGCATTTGGTTTTAGGTGTTGCATACCCACACATACATACTTCAAAGGCTCTTTCAGTTTTTAAATCCAAAATACTGCACAGTCCCCTTTAGTGATAAACTGTACAGGGACATGATGTGCTTGGCCTGTCAGTGATTGGGCCAATACCCTATTCAGGCACCATAATCCTGCCTTTGATGATTAAGAATCTTTGAAACGCTTGAAGGTGACTTGAGAGAGGCACAGAATTCCCTAACTAGTGCCCTCCAGATGTATTGGACTTCAACTCTTGTAATTTCTAGTCCAAATGACCAAAGGCGATGATGCATTGAATTACAGGACAGAATAATTGGGGGAAAGTTGATGTACCTAATTCTCTGCCATATCTATTAAATTAGAGTGTATAGCGTTGTTTCTGAAACAGTGCAAAAGTTTACAAAACCAGTTTATCATAGCTGAAAGTGAGACACTGAACTCTAAGTAGTCATTCTTTCTTCACAGTTTCTAAAAGTGGACAGTCACTGTGGGAGTACATCTAACTATATGTTTATAGTCCTGCAGATTAGCTATTTTGCTCCCTTTAAAAATTAAATCAGAGAGTCTGACACCTTTTCTATTTCTGGACCTCTATGGATGCTGATATAATATCTAACATTTATATATTGGATACATCATCTCCATCCATCAGTCTGTTTCTTTCATGGTACAGAATAGAGGAGGTATCACCTGGTGTCCTACTTTCCATCTCTATTTTGCTGGCATTATGTATATACAAGGATTAAAGCTGCAATAACCAAAGGCCTTTGGGATTGTTCATGCTAATTATCCACAGTATTGTTTCCAGTGGCTCTGGAAATTTCTGTGACCATTAGATCTAGAAGATATATAGATAATACAAATTTATTATTTTTTTCTTTATTTATTTTACTCCATTTATACACTGCCCAACTCCCAAATGACTCTGGGCAAATTCTTGCCTGTTGCTCCCTGCTTTTGTTTGCCTTTTATCCCAATGTTGCCACTAAACAGTTTTTGAAGTTTACTGATGTTTATAAACCTGAAGCAATATTTCGTACAATCATAGGGTTGGAAATGACTTTGGAGGTCTTCTAGTTCAACCCCCTGCCAGTAGAGGAATCCTCAGACCACCCTAGACAAATCAACCAGAATAAAACCCTTAGCATCCAGAGAACCCCAAAGCACTCAAATAACAAAAAATCTTAATTTCCAGGCACTTGGTCAAGCATATAGCTGAATAGTGCTCAGAGCTCATACATCATGGATACTCATTAGGACTAACATCTTAAATGAGGAGCATTCGGGGGTTTTAGGTAACAACGTAGCATAAGGTTTTGAAAATAGCAGTGATGTTGGGGGTAGAAAATCTCATGCTTGAGTATGGGAAAGAATAAAGTGTCTTGAGCATGAAGATGGAGCCACTGTTTGAAAGCTGGACCTCTCAGAGGTTTTGGATATGCCATGTCCAGAGGAAGTCCAAACCAGGATGGCTTGGTTGAAAACGGATAGATTAAATTCTGAAATAATTCTGAAGCTGACTTCGACCAACTACAAATTGATTCAGAATTGTGCTTCCGGAAAGGAGGCAAGCTAAAACAGATATATGCATGCTCAAGAACGAACAATAATACTTTAATGTTCAGAAAACTCGTAAATCTGAAATTATCAGGGAATAGAAATCTAATGGAACATGTGTCAGAGTATCTCTCTGTTCAAAAGATACTAAAACAACAAGTAGCGTGAACCTTTCTGAAAATTTCAGGCAACTGTTTTAAATTCATTACCAGAAAAGTATAAATATATAGTGGAGTTAATCAGAGTTCATGATAACATTTCCCTTGAAAATGTAATTGCCAAACTGGAGGTATACCAGCATGATTTGAACAATGGAACTAAGGGAATTCTCTGAAAAAGATAAAAGGGAGAAATGTAGCCTGGCATTATTATACTGGAAAGGGACATATTAAAAGAGAATGCAGACTTTACAGAGCTAAAGCCTGTACAACAGGGAAAGATAATAAGATTAAATGTCTTAAAAGAAAAGTCCAACCTGCATAGGGATTGCAAAACAACAAGGTACAGGCAGGAAAAGTTAATTTAGCAATTGGATGTTGATAAATGTATATGGAAAGGGCAGTATTAAACTGAAATGCCTGATAAATCATATGAAAACAAGAATAGAATATTTCAAGAAGCATATTATATACCTGAATTGGATGCAAATTACATAAATTATCTTACACAAAATGGTTGTAAAATTATGCTTAAAAATGGACTTTGTATTGTTACAAAAGACCATGAAGTAATACTGAAAGCACAATGAAGCTAATTTGCCGGAAATCATAGAGCCTAAGGCAAACGGAGTAACAGGAAGTATGCACAGTCATAATCCTGCAAAATGACATAGAAGATTTGGGCACAGAGATGAGTTTCTTATTAAGAAAATAAATGATCAGGACTTAGAAATTGAATTAAATGTTTGTCCTTTCAAGAAACAAAGGGAATCAACATGTGATTTTTGTTTAAAAATGAAAGGAAAAAGGAACAGTTTTCTAGCTTGAATTAAAATAAGCCAGCCAGCCGTTGGAACCCATTTTTTAAAATGTTTGTGGTCCAATGTCAATCAAAACAGTTTACCAGCAAAAGGTTCAGACTTCATACAAGTTATGAAACCTAATGGTATTTGTATTCAAAGCTTATGCATCAATCCCTTTTAAAAAAGGAATAAATAACATTGCAGAACCCAATTAGGAATAATGCTGGGCTGTCAAATGGAACAAAAGGGTTACAGAACAGTGTTGCTCATTTTAATGAAGAAAGCATAACTCCAGATGGACTAAAATATTTAG